CTTTTGTATTTTTAGGTGATCATTTACTTACTATTTTTTGAGGTTCATTTAAATATTTCCCAATAAAAAATAATGAAGTCATTTAATTATTTTAGTATATTCTTCATGAAAGCTCACTGTAGATGTAGTCAGTGTATGCTTAGTTAACTCACAGAGCTAACTAGCCGCAATGTAAAAAGTTTTAATAACAGGAAACGGCTGGAGCTACCCACCTCACCAACGCTGTGTGATTGTCGTCTTAAAATACATGCTGAAAACAATTATTCTAACGAAAATTATTTTTTGTCCGCATTTAAAATTCCAGTTTTTTTTTTTTGTATCAAATAGGTATGGTGATGGGGTTAATTAAACGGAATTCTATTTAGTCCTTCAGAAACATTATCAGAAAATAATACACTTATTTTTTCTTTTTATAACAAACAAAAAAAAATCATCGTCGTGTCATCAAAGTTTTTTTTGCGCATTATTTTGAATAATAAACACTAATTCTAAACAACAATTAAAGAACGAAAAGTTCAATAACTTGAGTCGGGTTGAGCTTACAAGCTGTGCTTAGTAAGACGAGAAAAGAAGGTAGGGGAGGGCAGGGCTGGAAGTGCCAATTATGACAAATCGCTGGATAAATCGGACAAGACGAATGCTACGGTTAATAGTATCATCAGTTATAGTAGCCTATCGTAGGTAAATTTTTTGCACAACTTGCCCCAGCAAGAAGACAGTTGTACTTTACGACCTCTTTTTAAAAATATGATTCTCTTGAAATAACTATTAAAAATACACATAACTTGATACAATTTTAGAATCTAGATAAAATTTTACTTAAGATACGCTAGAACTATTAACCGTAGCATTCGTTTATCCGATTTATCTAGCGATTTGTATTTTTTAACCTTTTACATGTTTTTTTTTTATAGAATTATATAAAGTTCAATCGCTACATTTATTCAAAGTCTAATTTTAAAATACCGACATTTGGGTAGTTTTTATACTAAAAATCAGTGTAATAAACTGCTACTTATTATTACTCTTATTACTTTTTTATACTGAAAGTTCTTCTAAATTATATATTTTTACTTAATTTTCATATAAATGAGACCAAGTATAATACTAGGATTAATTTAAATTTCTCCTAATAACCTAGGTGGCTGAGTTCAGCTAGATGATTTATTGTATTAATTAATTTCTCTAATTAGTCTTAACCAATTGAACTGCACTTTTTACAACATTTCAATAACATTAAGTTCCAAAATGTCAAAAAAAACGTCAGAACGAAGTGTTAAAATTGCACAAATATGTATATTTTGATAATTTACGAACACTAAAAATGCTTACTTTAGATCAAAAAGTATGAAAGCAAAAATATTTAGTAATGTGGTGTTGAAGGATCACCACACACGCTGTCACTAAGTCCGCGTCTTTGGCGTTACTACAATAGCCGCCACTCATGCACTAGACTGCCAAAGCACCAGACCTAATACGAACATTTTATCTCACATTTTTTTTTCCTTCGGCACTTTCAACCCCGCCTTCCCTTACATGAAATCAATATTTTTTTTAAATAACTATGAAAGTTTCGATATTTTTGCAACTTGTCTAATTGGTGAGAAAAAAATATTGACTCGTGCTCTACTCAGCGCTTTAAAAGAAGGCTAGTTTAACTGTTGGTCCCCGCTGCAGCAATTATTGTGTCCCAAATATTACGCAAAGAGTTTAGATAAAAAAGTAGTATCTTTCTCCCTCACTGTAAAAGGTTGAGATCAAACGCCGCCCGCAGACATTCATTGTTCCAAAAGGAAACCATTATTTATGGCGAACTTACAAACTTTCTTGGTACGAAATTTTCAAACATTTTAATATCACTAATAGATTATCCGTATTCATGCCCACAATAGGATTCGAACTCTTTGAACATGTAAACGTATCATTCTGTCCATACTATCCATCGCTAAAAGGGCCGTGCCGCGCGTGTGATCCGAGCGAACCTTTCATGTATATTTTACTCTGTATATTTTGATATGAGGGACCTCGTATCACATTCATTGAAACGACATATCGGAGAAACGTTTCAGTATGTTCCGATCGGGAAAAGATCCACAATTTTCTTCCCAAAGTAAAACCAAATATCATCAACTGAAGAGCCACTGCGGATTGATTTACATCGTTTCCTCTTTAAGCAGTCGCATGAGAACGGTACTATGCTGTGCCGCAAAGTTATGAAAATTACGTTGCAATAAAATAAAAATAAATGTACACCCATATTGTTATATTTATGTATTGAGTTAATTGTTGTATTTTTTATACGAGGCGCAACAAATTAAACCCCCCCCCCCCCAACCTGATGTTAAGTGTAAGTGGTGTCCATGGAGGGGGTGGAAGGAAGATAGATGATGCGGCAGAATGTGTGCCGCTCCAGCCATCCTTGCCTTACTAAGCAGACCTTGCCGGCCTGAAATCCGATCCCTATCCTGCGGAACGCTGGAACCCTACTCACCAGCAGAAACACAACATTACAGATTTGTATTAAACTTTAAATAAATGAATAGAAATAAAATTATTCGAATTGTTTTACAATGATTGCGATGAAATCCAAGTAAATTTATATTTTTATTGCAAATTTCTATTATAATCATTGCAACAAATAGATGAAAGTCTAATAACTATGAAGACTATTGGGTTGACGTACTTTATTAATTGCTGCGAAGCTCTTAAAAATTCAGAGATCTTTTAGTTTAGACCACTAATCGGCTATTTCGCAGATTCACAGGTGTTATCATAACCGCTAAAATTTACAACCAAACTCAAAACAAAAACATTGGAAACCTTAAAAAGAACCTTTTTTTTACCAGAAGTGTTTCCCTATGTCTGCTCTAATTAAAATTGCAGTAGCTATCTAATGTTGTCGTTAGCTCATTACACGTAAACCTGTATTGTCACCTTAGTCTTCATAATGAAGGCTTCCGACATCATTCTTCATTAACTTGAAAAATTGTTATGGAAACGAAAACTGCCCTCTTTTCCAACACAATCCACGAGTCTGCTCCGAAATTACCATCCTCGTTGTTTCTTTGTTGTGAAAAATGTTATTTAATTTCGGGCAATTATTACACGCGCTCTACGAAATTACTCCAAGGAATAGGACCTCGCGGATGTTGATTTTATTTCTGAAACGGTTTCTTTTTTTACAATGAAAGCTTTATGCCGCAAAATGGGATTCCCGCTGTTAGCATAATCTGCTCTTCATTATAATAAGTAAATTGTAAACATTGTTTGCTATTAGTATCTTCAATTCGAATCCACAAAGGTGAGGCCTTTTCCATTTTGCGTATTTGCTGCCACAAATTAACAATCGAGTATGTCAGGATTTTTAATAGCGTGTAAATAAATGTTGGTAAACTACTAGAAATCAGATGTAGAAACATGTAAGAAACATATTTAAGAAATATTTGAATCAATAAAACAGACAATTCACAACCTCCTTTTTGAAAATAGTAAAAAAGTGGTGTTTACCTATATTTGCTACAGAAGAGATTGGCCTTTATTAAGTGTCTCGCGTGAGTGATATCCGCAGTGTGGCAGGTGTGAGAATGCGATATTTGGCAGAATCGCGACGACACGACGCGACGCGTACGTAGACTGCGTCGCGTCATTTGTACATTTGCTTTATTACGCAACTTGATTTATACCTTCGCCCGGTGCGTTTAACTGCTGAGGTCTGTCATTTCGCCGTCTTAAATTGAGATTGATCCTGGAAGGGTTGACACGCCGCTCGAAATTGTTTACGTTATCCTGCCGACAGACGCCTGTTCTACTCGCGTGAGAGGTAATAGCCTTCAGATGTCCCACTAATATATCATTTTTAGTGACGCAAGTGGACATAGAAAAATGTTCACGTCCCATAAAATATTAGTCACTTATTTACCTTACTAATCTTTTGGGGACATCAGTCGCCGGTGTGGAAATGAAACTAATGTAATGACCAACTTATTGTTAACATTTTCATAACTATTAGGTGAAAAGTAGTGTAGGAATGTTCGTTATCATATAATTTGATGACTCTTTGAAAGCTTGCTTGCTTGCCCAAATTACCTTACAATCATTAGGTATATTTATTTTTGGCAATCTACGTAGTATGGTGTCAAACGCACCCTTGTAATTGGGTTGATGATATTAAAGTTTCGTTTATTTCGGTTCGTATCGGATCACTCACATTGTAGTTGCGTATTTCATACTAATGCGCATAGAGAAAACAAAGTGATTAATTTCCAAAAAAAAAAGAATTTTTGACACTTTTTACTTTGGATAAGATCAAATTCAGTCAGTCAATTTTGTGTTTTCCTCCAGTAATACTTTTATTTCCAAAGGCTGTATGCTTGTTTGTTATCCTTTTACATAGTTTATTATAACGGAGCAGTACCAATGATCTTTCAATTCAATAAAAAAACATTTATAACAATAGATACTGCTAAATACTTAGGTGCATGTTCAGGCGCGGTCGCAGCCATAAATTTTGGAGGGGGTCACTCACTACACTAATAAAGAATAGGTATCTGGAATAAAATAAACATTATTGCACAAGACACGATTTAGTTTATACATTACTTATAAAATATTGTTATACAATTTTTATCATAACGACGCATATCGATTTTGGTTTGTTTCTAAACTAGTACTAGATGTCATTTCCAAGTTATTTTGGCCATCGTACGTAGTTCATAAAACAACACTAAATGTCAACAAACTATAAATTTATCTCTGTTAGGTGGGATAGCTAGAAAATTCTTTTTATTATTTGGCAAATTTTTGAGATTTTTAAATTTGACCTTAGATTTGGGGGGGGGGGGGGGGCATGTCCCCTGTGAACCCCCCCTTCGGACCGCGCCTGTGCATGTTATATGCCAAAAAATTAATTTTTCCGCAGCAGCAGGAATCGAAACTTCGCCGTGTCGTTTATAGGGAGATGTAATACATTTTCTTATATATTTTTTTTTTGTTTTGTTACAGAGAGGCTCAGACGAGCTTCTTTCGCAGAGTGGCGTCACCGTCATGGCGCCCGCCGCTCCGCACCACGCCGACAATAACAACCAAGACTCCGCCGCGAAAAAGGTAAATGCCTTAATATTTAACAATAGGTTGCTGCAAAGGCAGCGTGATGCAACTATAACTGTGATTGTTGTCTTCATCATATTTACACACCGTTATCCGGGCGGAAGGACTGGATTCCTTCTAGTTTCTTAGACTGCAAGGCAGCGCAATGTCTTCGCATTATTGGTAACCCACAATATTTAATACTTGTAAAGGTATTCCATTTGACACAATAGCAGGCCATTCACTACCGTTCATTCCTGTCGGAATTTATAATACATACGGATAGAATGGTAGTTAACTACTTTGTCGCTATTACAAATCGATTACTGAGCAATCCGTACGGATTATAGATTCCGGCAGGAACGAATGTTAGTGGATGGCCCGCCAATGCGTAGAGATGGCGCTAGCTGGCAGCTTAAGAAATACTAAACGAAATTCTACACGGCGATAAAGTTCGTAGTAGGATAATTGGTAGTGCAACCGCCCGGATAGTGGAGGCTGCGGGTTCAATTCCCGTCTACTTCCTGGACCGAGTCGATTTTTTTCTAGTAAAATATTCTTTAGATTTTTAAATTTGGTAATTAAATGCTTCAAAAATAAATGTAATAAGTACAAGGTTGCTGCAATAGCAGCGGTGTGCAATTATAATATATGATTTTGTCTTCATCATATTTTTTCTTATCTTTTTTGCTATTCCCAAAACTAAATACTGCTTTATCAATGCACTAAAAATCTCTAGAATAAATAAGAAAAAAATACTACCAAGACTGGGAAAAATTAATTCACATTTTCTTAATAATAAATAAATAATGTAAATAAATAAATATTTCCAACACTCATACCAATTGGCCTAGCCCCAAAGTAAGCACTGTAAGGCTTGTGTTATGGGATGCTAGGGTAACGGATAGAATACATATACTGTACATATATAAGTACATATATTTATGTAGAAAATACATATTAAACATCCATGACTGGAGTACAAATGCTCGTATTCATCACAAAAACATCTGCCCCCACCGGGATTTGAACCCGGGACCTTTCGAGTCGGCGACACCATGAAACCCGGCGTACAAACCACTCGGCCACGGAGGTCGTAAAAATAATATATTCTTACTTAGCTTCAAGCAGCTTCTTTTTAATACCAATAAACCAATTAATTTTGAATCCATTTATGGCTTCGAAAACATGCATTTTTCAATTCACGGATTAAACTTATTTGTTGATTATCCATTTAAAAAAAGTATAATTCACAATATAAAAATAAACAGGAATGACAAATTATCACACCTCTTAATTTTTTTCGAATGTTATGATTTCAGAATAACAAGCTTAACCCCGTCTGACTTAAACTAATATTGGGTATCGTAAAATTAACGCTTAGTAAAATTGTGATGTCTCCACCGGGAACACAGTTTTTCACACCCAAACATTTTTGTTTTTTTTTACTAGAGATTATACTTAAATACCATAATCTCACGGTAGGTCACATGCTCGTCAATTTCTATCTTACGGTGTATAGCATCCATGTAGGTACGTTTTTCACAGCGATAGATGCGAACAAGTTTGTCACTTTGGATTGACACGACCGCGTTTGAATTTTACAAACCAATATACTTGCATATTGATTCATCGTCAAAAGCAATTTGAAATTTGTTATAATTTTATTAAGGTTTTTACAAAGGTATACATGTCTGTCCAACATACAAATAAATGATTAAAGACACTGGCTACAATAGGTAGGCTTGGTCTTAATAAATTTGAGACGATTGAAATTATTTATAAAACTTGGCAAAATATTGTTTATTTTCACTCAATCATTGAATGGATATTAAATTTCATCTTCTAATTGATTGAAACCCAATATCAGCAACCGATCCCGAGTTTTGTTTTGATTGTTGTTGTTTTTATAAATACTTTCCATTTCATTATAATTTAAACTTTTGGCACTAATTAATTGAATGGTCTGATATTTTTTTTCCTTCTTCCTAAACCACTCTCCGCCTGTGTAATTAACCGAATAACGATTAATCGAGATAAAGCGATAAAACAACGAAATCGCGAAACCGAAATGAGTATTAAAATAAAAGGTCCCTCATAAAAAGCCAACGCGCCATAAAGGGGCATCCCCTGAGAATTGAAGGGCCAAAATTTTATTAATCTCTACCCCGACCTGCGATGCCGAATGAATTTTTACATAATGTATTGAATCTGAATGGAATTGATAATTTTCGAAAAATGAATCCGTTTCACTTTTCAAGATAAGAATAAATCGTTTATCAATGGATCGAGCCTTTTTCATTATTGGGATCAATTTATCTCCACATTACCACACAAGACTATAATATCTTGTAAAGGAAGTATACCTAATTGGTATTTGAACTTATATAATGAATTCATGTATTATTGATTGTTTGTGTGTGTTTTAAATGGTAAACCTTGACTTTAAATCCGTACATGATATCCTGTCCGGTAAAATTATGAAGCAATTTGTGCCATGACTGGAATCCAGAAAATATTCAGATCATATTACAAAAAAATACAATATCGATACTTTATAATCAATTTAAAAGTACTTTACTAAATCAATATAATAAAGCCAGATAACAAAAAGCTTAAAAAATGCCATACCGAGTAATTTATTATATCACTTTCAATCAACACACAGCCTTGTGAAATAACAAAAAAATATAAACACAGCCGCAGTTGTGGACGTTCAGTCGCGCCAGTTGTTCGCGTATTTACATAAATACTACGTTACGTGCACTTTGTAGTCAAACAAACAGGCTCTGTGTTTGTTGTGGTGCCCCGTACTCTGTGGAAATGTCCATTAAAAACTAGCAGTCGGTGGAGTTCTTTCACTCTTAATACCTAAATTACAATTAACGTCAGTTGGTTTCCCAGTGAAGCTACTCGGCTTTGATTCGGTTATTGGGGACGTATCGGTAGGGATTACTGAAATTTTGTTGTCGGGCACATATTGAATTTGAATAAACCTTCTGTGAAAAAATATCGAACTTAACGGAGAAAATATAAAGAAAATCCACTATAACATCTTTTAAATATGAAAGAGACGCGGCAGGACACTTTCTTTTATAAAATGTAGTGGGATATACTTTGCCATGAATGCAGTGTTTTAGTCGGAAGAAGCTTTTTTTTTAAGTGAAAACTTCTTTAGTGGCTTTCTACACTTTTTTTTGTAGTGGGTAAAAAATGTTAAACTCGCGTCAGGACACGTGGCCTGATCGAAAATTTGTAAGTACACTTTTTTACAATAGATGTCGCTAGGTGCGCTTAAATGTGATTCATGTAAGTTGATTTTTCTGAGAGATAAACTTTTTAATGTATCACAAATTGTCATGTTTGTGTACGATAGCGCAATAAATAAATATTGGTTTGTACCACATAATTGATAGTACTTTTATACTGATAATTAAAGCAATTCGTGCAAAATGATTCCCTAACCATTCCAAAATATCAAAAATGCTCAACGTTAACATTCAAGTTTTCACTTCTGCCGGCACTCCTGGAGTGCAACCCGTCTTGTGCAGCAAATTACCCCACCCTACCTGATGTTAAGTGTTAGTGGAGTCCAGTCGGGAAGGTCCAAATATCCTCATCTTGCCGGCCTGAACCCAATCTCTTACCCAGCGGCACCCTGGAACCGTACTCCACAGCAGAAACACAACACCACCACAGGTAGCTTCCCAAGACGGGTGCTCGGAAAAACTTCTGTGCCCTACGAAAACCCTCTGCGAAACACGTAACATGATGATGAAGAAAAAGTTGTACTATCCATATTAATTTGCTATCTTACAACAATAATTGGTATAAATATACTCTGTTTTTTCGGATAATCGTTACCTGTTACCTGAGAAAATATTGGACAAAAATATTATCAGCTGTCTCATACTTCACTTTGTCCTTATTTTTTCTTAGTACGATTTCTGTTCTGTTATTTCGTGGGTTAGGTAATCTTGACTTTTTTCAAATAACAGGGTAATAGCGATAAATATTAGACATCTCACAACAATTCTTTTATTTTAAACTAAGCAGAGCTTTTTACTTATTAAACTAAACTATTTATTTAATAAATATTATATAAGTAGAAAACGAACCAATGTCTTGTAAATAAATTTGTTTTTGATGAGCGCAGAAATGCACTAAAATATCGGGATTGAATCAAACCCACGTATGTTACATCTAGGTGTATGAAGTATAAATTATGTGGTGTAGAAGATAGAAAATCATCAGACCTAACATTTTAGCATGCATCGGGTAGTGCGCCAAGGTGATGTTATATCACCAAAACTGTTCACTACGCATTGGAGGATATGTTCAAATTGTTGGACAGGAAAGACCACGGCATCAACATAAACGCCAAACACATTTGTCACCTATGATTTGCAGACTACATCGTCATCATGGTAGAATCGTCGCAGGAGTTGTTACAAATGCTGGACAGCTTGACTAATTTTTCTGCGCATATCGGCCTGCGGATGAACCTGGATAAAACCAAGGTTATTTACAACGACCACGTTGATCCGGGACCGATCACAATAAACGGTGTATATCTCGAGGTTGTTTCCGAATAAACCTAGTCAGGTTTTAAAATCTGTCACATGTTTAAAAAATAATTGAAACAAGTTTATTCAATGTAACCATTTACAGTCAGGTCATAAGTATTGTCACACAGTAAAAACTTTTCTTTTAGAATGCTGGCCACAAAAAAGTTTATTGAATTCGAATTTCGAATTGTTCATGAAAATAAAAATGTATACTTTTCAGAAATTTACTCATTTTTAAATATGGAGTGGACGCTTAAAGAAGAGCGTGTTTCAGTTATTGCGTTGCATCGTTGCGGTTACGCGCCAATTCAAATTTTTGACATACTGAAAAATTTGAATATAACCAAAAGATTCGTTTATCGTACCATCAAACGATACAATGAAGACTCTAGTGTAGATAACAGGTTAAGAAGTGGTCGCCCTCGGTCTGTTAGGACTCCAGCAGTAATA